AGGGACTCCCGCTGGATGGCGAGGGATGCCCACAGGAATCACATCCCATCGCTGCTGTCTGCAGATACTAGCAAGGCCCTGGCTCTTGCCTAACGACTTAAGTGTGTTTGGGAGTGGGTATTGAAACCGGTTCCGTGGTCCTTCCTTGGCAGCCATGCCCCAAGGCAGAAACTGCAGATGGAACTGTAACTGACGTGGTCTTACTAGCAGCGTGCTGGGAAGAAGGGCCATGGCAAGAGGGTAGGCCATGAACTGTGGCAGTAAATATCGCCTGCTCCTGGGTGCCAGGCACCGGCTGGAGCACATCTCTGCCCACATGGCAAAGATGGACCCATGTGGCAAAACCATAGAAAGATTCGTTGGGGAAAATGATCGTTACTCCTAAGTCTGTTCTTTTTTAGTGATTGTGAATGGTATTGTATTTTTCATTTTGGTGTCTATGTGTTCGTTGCTAGCATGTAGAACACAACTCGTTTCTGTACTTTCATTTTATATCCTGCATATTCGCTAAGCTCACTAGTTAGTCTTACATACTTTTTTGGCTTATTCCTCAGGATTTTCTACCTAGATCAGTGTCCCCAACCTCCCCAGCACCCGGGACTGGCCTTCTGGAAGATAATTCCTTCACAGGTTTGGGGGACAGGAGTGATAGTCTCAGGATGATCAAGTGCACCACATCCACCATGCACCCCATGCCCCCCACTACCACCGTGCAATATATAATGAAACAGTCACATAACATGGGTTTTCCCCTGAGAATCCAGTACCCCTGCTGCTCTTCCTGGAGCCGAAGCCCAGACTGCCTGCAGGGATGGAGGTGGCTCACACATAGACAGAGCATCGTCACCCGCTGCCCACTGCCCTGCCGTGCAGCCCAAGGCAGGAAGAGGTGCATGGACCACAGGCCACGGACCAGCACCAGTCTACAGCCCAGGCTCGGGGGCCCCGACCTAGACAGTCATATCATTGCTTCCTCTGTCCAGTCCGTGTGTTTCTAATTTCTTTTTGTTTTCATCCTGCGCTGGCTCAGACCTCCAGTGCTATGCTGAACAAGGGTGGTGAGGGTGGGCGTCATTGCCTCGTTCCCGACCTTGGGGGCAAGCGTTCCACCTTCCCATGAAGTGTAGTGCTAGCTCTCAGTTTGTCATAGATGTGACTTGTGCTTTGCTGGTTGGGTAGGACCACGGAATTTTTTGTTTTTTGATTTTTTTTTCCCCTCTCTTTGTGTAGTGTTTGGCTGAAGTGAAGAGGTTACTATTAATAAGTGTTCTGTCTTGCCAGAGGGAGCTGATGGCAGAGCATTTCTGTCTCCGTTGTCTCCCTGTGCCTGATGGCATTTCTGGGTTGCTGGTTTCTTCAGTTCCAAGTCCAGGGTATGTGAGGAAAAAAGAAAAGCACAGGCAGCTCACCACCGTGTCATTCTTTGGGCTTTCTGGTTCCATAACTGCATGGACGCTGGAGTCCACCGAAGGTAGAGGTTCTGGAATGGGAGCTGGTGGTGCCAGCGGGCCTGCAGCTCCTTGGCTTCTGTGTGTGTCGGCGTCAGTCCTCCTGCTGCAGGCAGGCTGCCCTCCCCGTGGGGCACAGCTGCCCACAGCCTCAGCGACAGTCCCAGCCAACGGGGAGCCCCTTCCTCTGCATCCAGAAAGTCCCCGATTGGCCCTGCTTGGGTGACAAGCCTGTCCTTTAGACCAGTACTGTTGCTGGGGAATGGAGTACTTGGGTCTGGGCTGGGTCATGTGCCCACCCCACTTGGGGGCGGCCAGTCTTCTTAAGAGGAAGGCAGAAGAAGTGCACCTGGGGAAGATAAAGAAGACTGTTACCATAACTTACTGCCATGGGTCTGAAGAATGTGTAGTTAGCAGTGTAGGAAATCTCTGTAGATTAAGCAGAAGGCTTGTTGAATTTAGGTTTTATTAAAATCATCCCTGACACCGCCTGGGGTTGTGGTTGGAAGTGACTGGAGGAGGCTGCTGTTGTAACTCCGTAACTGCTGCGTGGCCGGGAGAGCTGAGCAGCTGGACTCCCAGGTTAATGTATTTGTACTTCACTTTCAATCACAGCAGAGTGGAGGGAAGGGCTGGAGTCTAGAGACAATTAGGCAAACAAAACTTGGTAACCAGCTGGAGGCAGGGAGAGGAGGGGCTTAGCGAGGATTCCCTGCCACCACAGAAGGGGGAAATAACTGTTCTCTGAGGGCTCACCTGGTCTTTGGGAGCTGGTTATTAAGTGATGGCAGACTCAGCCTACCTTTTTGCTTCTCGAGGAATGGGAGTGTTGCTGGCTTTTTGTGTTACGCTATCTGGTAAAGGCGGCTGACTGACTATATTTCCCTGCCTTCCAAAAGTTGCCTGTTTTTGAAAAATTGAAGAATGGAAGATACCTTCAGGTCTGCCAGGAGAAATAGATGGATAAGAAGAAGACGCTGGCCAGGAACCTTTATGTGCCTCACCCCCATCCCACTGAGCCGCCACCTGTCCCAGGACATCGGATCTACTTTAGAAACATTTGTCCCTTTGTCCTCATCCCTTTTAGGGGATTTAAGTAAAGAAATGACCTGATCCGATTCATGTTGTCACAGCAGACCATGGGTGGAGGGAGAAGTGGCACCAAGAACAGAAGCAGGGACACAGGGGACACCAATTAGGCTGTCACAACTCTAGAATAGTAATGGTGGAGGTGGTGAGAAACGGTCATATTCTGACTCTGTTTGAGGATTGGATCTGGAGTGAAAGAGAAGGGGAGGAGACAAGAGCGACTGCGAATTCTTTGACCTGGGCAATTGGAAGAACACTGTCTTAAACAGAGGTGGGCACGACTGGGAGGAGCAGGTCTGGGGCAGGGCGCAGAGTCTGTGTCGGACACAGTGTGCTTGAGACACCCGACTTTTCTTACACAAAGCTCTTGTCCTGACTTCTTACTTGACATAGGCACTTGGCTCTACTAGTCAAGAACTCAGAGAGGTCCAGGCTTGGGGACAGATTGGGGCGCCATTAGCATAGAGGTGATATTCAAATCTACGGGAAGGAGATGGGATCACCAAGGAAGTGTCAGAGAAGAGCAGGATAAGCCCTGCGGCACTTGGACAGCGGAGGTGGGGAGATAAGGAAGAACCAGCAGAGAAAGAGCAGCCAGCGAGGTGGGTAGAACCCAAGAGAGCGTGATTTGGAAGGCATGAAGAGAGTAGTCAAGCAAGAGGGAATGATTACCTGGTGTCGAGAGCTGTCAGATGAAAACTACTAAGGTATGACCAATGGATGGGCTGGTTTGGGACCGAGGGTTAACCTTGCAAATAAGCTGTAGTTTCTTCCCTAAAGGAGAAATTGTGCAAAACCAGATTATTTAAAATTTACTGGGGACCGACAGGTTATGGGTGCTTAAGGCACTGGTCTTCTGCGTGGCCAGCTGTGATTTGAGTCCTGGACCTGGTGGCTCACTTTCTCATTTTCCCTCTCTCTCGGATAAGCACATTTGCCTTATAGTAAATTAAAATAATAATAATAATAATAATAAACAACACAATGAAATAAATAATTCTTTTAAAAAATTGACTGAACTAAGTCGGAGAAAGACATGAAGCAAGTACCATGGGAGTCCAACAGAATGGAGTAGTACTTCTGGCTTTCCTGGGGAGGATCGAGTCAGATCTGCCCATGTGCTCACCATTCATTAATTGCAGGTGCTGAGAGACGGGGGGGGGGGGGGTTAGTAATTAGAATATATGTGCCATTTCAGTGTCGCAGATAAAGGGAGCTCCGGAAGTGACGATAGCAATGGTTGTGCAACAGTGAGAGTGAGCACAGTAACTGAACTGCACACTTAGAAATGGCCACGATTGTACATTCTGTGTTATACGAACTTGAATAAAAAGAAGAGGGATGGACAAAACGCTTTTGGGGACGAGCTTGTTTTGGGATACATTTGAAAGAATGGCATCTCAGCAGAAGGGCTAACATGGGGAAGCACGAGGAAGACACCCATCTAGAGGAAATGCCCCCTTTGGGGGAAACCACGCAAGCTGAGACTGCACAATCAGGCCGGGCCAGTTGGTGCAGGCCTGACTGCGGAGCTGGGCTTGCCTTCTTGGGTTCTGGAAGGCTCTCGAGGTTTCTGCCCAGGGGAGTGTCATTCCAAAGGCGTGCATTTAGATTTATGTCGTTAATCCTTCCTGGTAAACCATGACCTATTAAAAGCATTGGAATGGAGACATGCATTTCTATGATGAAAGCTGTGGCCTAGCAGAATTTTAGAGACCCAGGCTTGTGTTACTGAGCTGAGTAGATTGTTTTAACATCCCTATTACAGGTATTTCCTGAGGACTGCCTGAATTCCATAGTGCTCTGTCTTTCTTTCTTTCTTTATTGGTAAGAGAGAGGTTTTTGCTATAGGAAGCATGCACTTGCTGGAGCGACCAAGAGGGACAAAGAGACGGAAAGCAAGAAGTCACCCCTGGGGGGGGGGGTTGGCCATGTAGCAATCCCTTCTCCTCCACTCTTTTCTCAGGATTTTGGGCACGCACACACACGCACCTGGCATGAGTTTCAAGCCTCCGGGTCCAGGACTCAAACTGTGATAGGCCATGTGGGCATCCCGCAACATAACCATTTCACCATCTGCTGGTCTCCATAGTGTTCCAAGCAGTAGGGGTAAGGGATGGGAGGAACTGAGCCAGTTTCTTCTCTTGGAAAGTCCTCATTCTACAGATTCCTGTTCCTGCATAGAAGATTGTGACACTGCGTGCTGTGTGTTACCATAAATGTGTCACCAGGGTTCCGTGGAGCTGAGAGGAGGGGACAGCCAGCCTGCCTGGGATACTGGGGAGACTTCCTGGGAAAGATTGTCCAGTGGACCCGAAGGCTTAGCAAGGAGTTTTTAAGCAAGAAGGTTGAGATGAGCATCCCAGGAGATGTAAATCCAAACTTACTGCTACCACTTTAAAGACAAGGTATAAATGTTCTTTTATTTTTTTAAAGTTAAACTCTTATGTCATTGGCTTTTAGGTGGTGCTGGCTAGAGTGCATGCTTTTGGATCCAAGGTTAACTTTTCAAATGTGGAATCCTCGGCCTTCATTGGTAAGTGTTGCTTGCTGCCTTCTTACCAAATTATTGTCAAGGTTTGATATTTGGTGTTTGGAAGGAAGGGAAAGGTCATTATCATTGGAAGCTGCTTTGTGGAGATTGCCAAGCCTGGACCCTAGAGAAGCCTATCAGATGGGCTGAAAGGATACATAGGAGAAGTGAAATCTCACCAGAGGCTTCTATGGTAGATGCAGAGAGGGAGGTCAGAGAAGGGAAAGCCAGGGGTGCAGGTGATAGGCGCAGCTACCCTCGTGGAGAGGTAGAACCTTGACTGTGATTCGAAGGAAAAGGTAGATGGAAAAAAGTTCAGGGACGAGTGATACAAGGTTTCGGGCTATGAGACTACGGTGTAAGGTGTAAAGAAAGTGGCTCAGCAGTAGACCAACGGGTAAAAGCTAAGTCCAAGGGGGTTGTGGGCAAGGGCTTTGGCATTGGATTATTCTAATCGAGGGTCCTCAGACTGTTCCTCCATCTCGGTTACTCGGTCTGCTGTGGTAGCACGAAGGCGGCCACAGATAATACACCAGTGAATGGGTGGCTGTGTTCAGTACAGCTTTATTTACAGAGATCAGTGGTGGGCGAGATTTGACCCGGGGACTGCAGTTCACATTTCCTTTTCTAGGCCTTGAATGCTGGACTAAGGCATTGAGCCTTTATCCTGAAGGAAGTGAGAACCTGTTGAAATTATTTTGGGCCAAGAAGTGAAATGGCAGAAGTGACATTTTAGGAATATTTATCGGATAGCTGGTTATGAGGTGTGGGACCCTGTCAGGAGGCAAGAGCAGCAGTCCAGGCATGGGGCCACGTCGCTGATGGTGGTGAACATGGACGTGAAGGACCAAAGGAAGAGAGATTGCAAAGGAAGAACCAAGAGGATTTGTAGTCATAGACTTAAAGGACAAGAATCAAAGAAAATGAAAGCTTGCTCTTGGTAGGTCACAGTGATAGGACTGGCAGAAGTGTAGACGTTGGGGTGGAGGTGGAAGCAGCTGTCTACATAGGCTGAATTCAAGATGGTGGTGGTTCATCCGCAGGAAATGTCCACTAGACAACTAGGAATGCTTTCCTAAAGCCTAGACTGAGACACTTACGTCTCAGAATGGAAGACAAAGGGTTAAATAAACTTCTCCAAGATGAGCAGAGGGCTGAGCCTTGGGGAATGGGCATAACTTTGAGATGAGAGGAAGAAGGTAGACGAGACCCAGAAGCTATGGAAGGGGAGGATGGGCCATTAGAGACCAGGAAAAAAAGAATCTGAATTGTGATAGTCTCTTTAGATGCTGTGGAAGAATGGAATGTCACAAGAGGGGAAACAGGAAGAAAGGGAGGTGGTCTGGGGTCAGACATAAATGAGGGTTAAAGAGTCAAGATGCTCCTAAAATAGACCACTAGGCGAGAATCTGGGCCTCAAAGAAGGGAGACACAGAAGATTTGGGTATTTGCATGTCAGAGCAGCCTTTTCTCTTAGCTTTGAGGCAGACAAAACTTGCTGTGACCAGTTCTCATTTCCTTCTTTGGAGCCAAGCTGTGTATGGGAGGTTGTGTGTACACTGGGTTTGCGATTGTGTGTCTATGTTCCCTTTGAGGTGTGGTATTCATAACTCTGCCACAACTTGCACCATGGAATCCAGCCCATGTTCGGACTCTTGCCATGAGACAAGATGTGATATGTTGGGGAAATTGTTGTGTTTGCATAAATTGGAGAAGAAAATGGAGTGGACCAAAAATCAAAATAAAGCTTACTGTAGAGTCTGTACAAGCCTGGGAACTTGAGACAATTCCTGAAACAATTAAACTACATAGCAGTTTGTGTTCTGACTATTTTGAGTGTATGTACTTTGATTTGAATTTCAAGTCCTTTTTGATTTGGTTTGCATGAATATAGCAGTTGGAGACCTGGTAATAAAAACGACAGGTGGTTTAGAGCCACCATTTGTTGACCGCGCGTTAGGTTTCAAGTATTCTACATGTATCATTTCATTTCATCCTTGTAATGACCCATCACAGGAGAATTAGTGTCCGTGTTTCAACAATAAGGAAATCAAGTCATAAGGAGGTTGAGGAACCTGTCCAAAGTAACAGAGGATTTGAACCCAGGTTACACTGCTCTGGTTTCTGCTGCTCCCTGTTTTTGTTCACTTAGGCTGGAATTTTTACTCCCGCTTACGAAGGACTAGAGGTAGGTCAAAACCATCAGGTTAAATATGCAGAGCCCATGTTGGGTGTTTCTACTTCCTAGGGTCTATTAAAAGTGTGGAAGAAGTGTGGTGAGTCTGTAAGAGTCTAAGGCCAAACCTCAAATACTTCCTTTACCTGTTTCCCCAGGCGAAATTTTCCTTTAATTGGAGAAGCCTGCAGCCTTGGGTTTGGCAAGGAAATATCAATGGAAGAGAGGGAGTCGGCTTGCCGTCCTAGCTTTGTGGCAGTTATAATGTAATTTTTATTTAAATGCTTGCCATTTCTCTCCACTCCGCCTCAGTTTGTTGCTTTGTTGCATCTAGTGAACCCAGTGACTTGAGACAAGGTACTTAACCTCTGTGTGGCAGCCATTGCTCTTGGCACTGTAGTTAGAGAGGTGACACAGGACAAGGTCTCTGTCATCGTGAGACAGATGTCCTTAGACATGCAAGATACATAATGGGACATCAGGTGTGATCATGCTCTGGGGTGAAATAAAGCAAAATAAAAGGTGGAGAGTGATGAGGCTGATAGATCAGTTAGAATGATCAGGAAAGTTCTCTTTAAAAGAATTAAGTGAAGGGCCAGCAGATGGCGTAGTGGTTATGTCACTGGGCTCCCACATGGCTAACCGCGGTTTAAATCCTGGACCTGGTAGCTTGAAAATCACACTGAGCACATGTGTGTGTGTGCCCAAGATCCTGGGAGGGGAATGGAAGAGAAGGGATTGTGACATGGGCATCCCCTTAGGGGGTGATTTTTCACTTTCCCTTTCACTGTCTCTCTCCAGTGAGTGTATGTACTTTAAGGCAAAAACCTCTTAAAAAATAAATTTAAAAAATAAAAGGAGACTGTGAGCCTGATGGAGGGAAAATTCATATTAATGTTCTTTGAGATGACTACACAAGCTGAGCCTCAATGCTTAGTTAGAATTCTTTCAATTGGCTGCCATTGCTCATAACTGCCCCTTCCAGCAAGCCTCCCGTCTCAGGCCTTGTCTTCTCTGGTGTACTGAGTCTTCCCTTCCTGGAGCAGCGAGTGCCCACACATCTCCCCTGGCTTGATGTCTCCTGGTTCTCCTCCAACTTCTTAGACCTCGACCTCCACAGCCTGCTTTGCTGGTTCTCTTTTCTTTGTTCTTAGCTTCAGGTCATGCTTGGCCCCTTTCCCATCTCCCCTAGCATTCTGCTGGCTGTCTCATCCACCGCTCCCCTCTGTCCTAAAGACACAGATCTACATATGCAGTCAGAACCCCCTCCCAGCCCACACGCTCAGCTGTCTGCCCCGAGGGCATTTCAAACTTGTCTCCTCCTGGAGGGCTCCACCGTTCTCCCTGGAGCCTGTCTGGATCTGTGCCCCCTCTGTTGTCTCTACTTTTGGCGTCATCCTTGGCTTGTCCTTCCCCTTACCTGGCATTTCCTACTGGTAAACCACTTCTGAGAACCTCGTCATCTGATTTGTCAACTCAGTCCTTCTTTCTGTCTGCACTCCTTTGTTTAGGACTCACCTCCTGGGAGTTGTTATTTACAGCAGCACTCCTAATTGATCATCCTGTGTCTGTTATCCTCCTCCCTCGTCCCAGCGCCCACACACCTATCAACATGGAGTTTCCAATTCCCAGTTCTGCTTGTGGCTTCTGTCTGCTTAAAACTCTCCAGGAGCTCCTCACTGCCTGTGAAGTAAATGCTACGCTACTTTGGCAAGCATGTAGTCTCCATGTGCTGGCTTTTGGCCACCTTCTTATTTCACATTTTCCTTGACCCACATTTCTAAGCTCAGTCCAGCCACCCACAGCCATCACTTCTTGGTGCCTTTGCCATTGCTGGGCTCTGTCCTGGGAATGACCCGGCCCCCGCTCCCCAAATAGGTAACTCAGTTCCAGTTTCTCCTCACTCTTCTGGGCACTGTCCTTCCCCTTCCTGTACTCCTCCATGACCTGGAGGTGACCTTCCTCATAGCTCCCAGAATACCCTGCCCAGCTCCCTCTTACAAAGCACTTATCAGCACAACTGCTGATTTACTTATCTGTTATGCTCAGTAAGCTGAGCTCCTGAAGGGTGGAGACCACACACACACACACACACACACACACACACGCACACACACTCTCTTTGTTGCCAGTGCCAGCACAGTGCACCTGGCTCAGGAAGTGTTTGTTGAAAGAGTGAGGATAGCAAAGTCTGTTTGCATAGCTAAGCAACAGATTTATAGCATGATCCAATGTACGTGAAATTGGAGGTTCACTGACTGTGGAGTTCAGTGGGACCACCCCTTGTCTCGACTTCCAGTGCAGGACGGGTTGTGCAGGGCGTGGGTTTGTGGCCGCCCATGTGTCTGCCTGCACACTGGGACCTCGGGGACGTCATTTCTCTATATTCTTTGTTCCTGACCTTTTTTTTTTTTTTTTTAAGCTCCTGTTGTTGATAGGCTAATAATAACAATTCAAAATGAAAACTAATCTAAGGAATTCTCAGGGATGAGGTCCACCCAGCTTAGTCCTAGATGAATCCCAGATTTCCTTAATTAGCTATAATATGGATTCTTGTCCACCACAGTCTGACAGCCTTCTCAGTGAAGAATGCTTTCCTGGCTGGAAGGTCAGGGGATCGAGACGTTCTTTTTGGAGGTGTCCAGGGGCATCCTTAGCTTCACTTGGAACCTCATAAAGTCCTTGATCATCCCGTGTCTGTTGTCTTCCTCGCTCATTCCATCGCCCACACTCCTGTCAACATGACATTTCTTTTATTTTCTTTCTTTCTTTTTTTATTTATTTACTTTTTTGAGAGACTTTTGCTATAGGGCGTGTGCGCTCACTA